TGTGCCTTGCGTTATCACCCACTCCTGCTCTGGCACCCTCAAGCCTGGCATGGATTCGGATGCCTTCCTTAGAGCTGGTACCCAAACTGCCCTGCCGGTAGTCTCTTCTCCCTGGTCCTGCCTGCCAGGGCTCCTTGGAGTCTCTCATCTGTGATGCGATCAGGGCCCTGGGCCTCACTCTATCCGTAATGCACAGGTGAGGGCACCTGCCAGAGGCTGGTCAGTGGTGGAGCCGAGCTCACCACCTGTCTCCTGACAGGCTCTGCCCCAGCACCAGAGTGGGGAGGATCGTTACTGGGTCACAGCCTTAACCCAGACGTACTTGGTCCACAGTCACGCCTGAGGGAGTGCACAAGTCTTGGGGTGCATCAGGCCCAGCCTTCCCGGGAGGCTCAGGAGTCAGTCTTCAAGGTGCCTTGGCATTTTCTCGGACCATCTTCTCTTCTTCCTCTGAAACCCACAGCGCAGAGCCAGACCGGGAACTCTGTAAACGCCCTAGCAGCTTCTGGCCTGTGCCCCTGGGGAGTCCTGGCGCCATGCCCTTGTTTACCTTCTGGCTAATAAGTGAGGGCGCCGGCCTTGCACAGAGCGGTGCTATCTGCCGTATTAGAGGGGAGAGCCCTTTCCTTTACCTGCCCTTGGGCTAAGTGGGCATCTCCTCTCCTAGCTCTGTGCCCTCTGGGACTCGGGGCGAGGCTGGGGGAGCGCCTGTGTGCATGTGCGATTTCTCTGCACATTCTCTTTCCTCTGCAATTTCAGGGTCATGCTGCGGCAGCCCGGCGCCTGACAAGCGAGGCGAACCTGCCAGGGGATTAGTGCCAGCACGCCAGCTAACGGCAGGACAGGCCGGCCTCGGGGGAGCGGGGATGGGCAGAGCAGCCCTGCTCCCGGGCCGGCAGCACCAGAAAGGAGGCCTGGACCCCAACTGGACGCTCAGCACACGCTCCTGACCCAGCCAGCATCGGAGCGAGCACCCCACCGAGCGGCAGCTGGTCCGAGCCTCGGGGACCCCCCTCTGTAAGCGCATTTGGAGCTGTGACTAGCAGTAACGGGCCCGGGACCCGCGCCACGGATGGGAAGCCGTCGAGCAGAGCCGGCCACACCGGATCTGGGTCACTGCACCAGAGCCATCCGACATCCACGGAGCTCCCTGGTGTTCTTCTCTCAGGGTGGGGGGCTGGTTCCCCTCTCCTGGCAGAGGGGGTAGGCCAGCTCTTGTATGGAACCCAGGCCCCCTGACGCCCTCGTGCTCCCTGTTGTGACTGGGGTTCCAGGGCTTCCCCGCTGCAGGGGACGAGGGGCTGCCTCGGCATCTGCTCATGAGCCACAAGGACCCCGACTGCTCCAGACTGGACCATTTCAAGCCACCAAAGAGGGGGGACCCCAGAGCTGGCAGCCGGCAGTGCCAAGGGACTAGAGGGCTGGGATGGACTGACCTCCCCCTCGCCAGGCCAGCAGGAGAGGCAGAGCCTCTGTGGCCCAGCTAGTGACGCAGAGACCGAGGAAGCCCTGAGCGGGCGCCCAAGCAGCTCAGGGACGGAGGAGCCGCTCCTGACCACGACGTGCTTGCTCCTCGCGCCGAAGGAGGGCGTGGCCCGGGACCCCTGCCGGCTGTGCCCTATGCCCTTTGCACGTGGTGCCAGAACAGGCAGGCTGCGTTGTGGCTGGCGCCTCGGCGGGCTGGGAGAGGGGCTGCGGTGACGGCCGCCCGCCACCATGAAGTGCTCCCTGCGGGTGTGGTTCCTGTCTGTGGCCTTCCTGCTGGTGTTCATCATGTCCCTGCTCTTCACCTACTCGCACCACAGCATGGCCACCCTGCCCTACCTGGACTCGGGCGCCCTGGGTGGGACCCACCGGGTGCCTCCCGGGGCGCGGGCGCCCGGGGGTGGCCCCACCGGGTGAAGCTGGTGCCTGGCTACGCCGGCCTGCAGCGCCTCAGCAAGGAGGGGCTGGC